CACTAGGCTTCTTATTGTGAAGCAACTGACATTAGCATCCTATACTGTTCCTCAGTACCAGTCCCTCACTGGGCCATCATCTCCCAGTTGGATTTAATTTCCCTAAAATTGTGACAAAAGTATTTGTGTCTTAGTCCAACTCTCTGCCCATGGGTGTAAAATGCAAGCATTTCTGAATGGTATTTGGCACTTCCCAGGACCTAGCCCTTCCCTTTTCCCTTTGACATTCCTCACCTGGATTGTGTCTGCAGTGCTGAGCTATGCGTAAGGGCAGGCCAGCTTCCTGGCCTCCAGCCTGCTTTCTTCCTCTTGGTCCTACCTGACATACCTTTATGTTTGACTGTGACAAGTGAGAAAATGCTATTTCCTGCATGAAGCTTGTTGGAAAGGTCCTCCTTAATTGAAACCTGCATTCTAGGAGTTACCTCATTCTGTTTTATGGAGATATATGAGCTCCTTCATCAGGTTTCAAGCTCTTTGAAGCAGTGACTGAATTTGCTCACCTTTGCTTTCCCCTCAGGGTCCAATTTGGGTCCCTGAGTCATAACAGGCACATGTAGTGTTGAGTTGCTTGAATTGAATTAAAAGAGAGCACTGGTACCTAAACAGAGTTAGTCCTTAAGAGTCCTGGTACCCAGGATAGACTGGCTAAAGAAAGATGTGATTTCTTGCCCCCACCTCAATAAATACACGTATGCATCCCATTCTTCATTTCTGAACTACTTCAGAAGGTTTTTTTTTTTTTTTATCCTCTTACTTTCTATTAATTTTCTTTTTTCTTTCCTTTCCTTTAGTTTTTCTTTCTTTTGCTAGAGGGTACATGTGCCCACCAAAAAGAGACAGAGACACAGAGAGAGAGGGAGAGGGAAAAATACCCCTTCCCTATAGGAAACTGTTGTGCCACAATCCTTTACCTCTGTCTCTCTCTCTCCTTTGGGATTTTGAGTATCCATACACATGATCAGTGTGTTTCTCAAGCCAGCAGGTCTGGGACTTGAACCGCACAGTTAGTCCTGTGAGATATGACTGCCTTAACCAATAGGCCACAAAACTGGCCCTTTCATAAATTTCCACACCATTCACCTACCATTGATTTTACTTCTCACCTGTTCTGACCTGCTTACTTTGCTAACACTGAAGCTATCTTTATCCCTTTTTTCCACTTTCTGTTCTCTTATGTTCTTCTTAAAATGTATTTTTTTTTCTTTCCCAGCCCCCTTTCCTCTATCAGCTTCAGCAATAGAAAATGCAGCACCAGGGCTCAGAGAGTGGCACAGCAGTAACACAAATGGATCCACATGGGGATATCCCCAATTTATGTCCTGGGGCCTCCTTCTACACATGGATATACACACCCTTGTGTCTGTGATAGGGGCTGGCTGAGGCTGGGGGCAGATCATGGTATGAAGACCCAGTTAGGGATGCTTGTTTGTCACTTTTTTCTCTCTCTGTCTCTTTTCCTCTTATAAAAGAAAAAATAAACTTCAAAAGAAATTTATTAAAAATTTTAATTTTTAAAAGATTTTTTTTATTAAAAAAAAAAGAAGAAAAAGAAGAGCCAGAGTCAGTCCTATAGTTAATTGTTGTGTGGAGGGAACTGGATACCACATGGCCAACTGCAATTCAAATTGTCTCCTTGATGGCTTGAAAAATGTGCCAGAAATGTCTGACTAGAATCCTGACAGGAAGGAGAGATGGGGGAAAGGGATTGCAGTGTGACCAAGCCCCATCAGGGAGTACTATTTCTCTTTTTGTCCCTCTTCCTCTCTCTCTGGAATGCTCATGTACCTTCTGATAAAAAAAAAGGAAAAAAGAAAAAAAAAAGAAAAGAAAGAGAGAAAGAAAGAAAAATAAAGGAAAAGAAAATGGCAGTGCAATTTTATACAAAGTCCGGGATGACCAGAAATCTGTACAGGATGCAGTTCACTGTGGCTGCTTTTAAACCAATGAAAAGCTTTTGGCCTTGTTTTCGTTCTATTCAGAAGGATTTCCGACTAAATCCTTAGCCTGCCATATGGGAATAACTGGGTTAGAGGGCGTCTATCTAATCTGAAACATTTTCAAACATTTGGGACTGTTTTTGGTTCAAGAAAACATAGATTAACATTAAACTTTGTTTTAGCCAAGGTCTGAGAGAGGTTCTAAGCTATACCATGTACACTTGATAAATTTCAGAGACCAGAACTAAGGGTTACACTTTAGTTTGTTCTTCCAACATTGAACTATTTTAATCCTAGTTATAATTCCACTGAAGGCTGGGTTTACTCACCAGCTTGCTTAAACTGCAGATACCATCTACAACCCTGTTATTTAAAAACAATTCAGAAATCATAAATAGAAATTCAGAAGGAGAACTTGATTTTACAAGATGTTGATTCCCTGATGAAATTGTCTAAGAGATTTGCCAAAGACGTTATGCGTCTTAAAATACCCTCTTTTCCTACCAGCCTGGTATGGCAACTTCAGAACTACTTATTAAAAATTAAGACACATATTTTACCAGTTCAACAGTGCATTGCCTTTTGTTTGTTTGCATTTTTAACTAGAAAAGTTAGTATAGTATTGCAATGATCATCCAGAAAATCCCAGGAAAAGAATGACTCTTTTATTCGGCATTTTAGCAAATATACCATGAACACTGGCTATGTCCAAGATACTTCAACAATGGGCCAGCAGGTGGCATGGTGGTTAAGGTGATGGACTCCCACATGGCCAGCTGCATTTGAGACCCAGAGCCAGTGGCTTGAAAATCACTCCAGGCATGTGTGTGTGCATGCCCAAAATACCAGAAGAATGGAGAACGGATTGCAGTTTAGCCATCGCCCCATGGGGTGATTTCTTACTTTCCCCCTCTCTGTTTCTCTCTTTAATAAGTGCATGCACTTTATGGCAAAAACTTAAAAAAAAAAACGAAAACAAACGATACTTCAGCAAATGTTCTTTCTTTTTTCTTTTCTTTTCTTTTCTTTTCTTTTTTTTTTTAAGAGGTTTTTGCTATAGGGCGCGTGCACTCACCAGAAAGACATAGAGACAGAAAGCGAGAGAGAAATCACCCTCCAGGGGGCATGGCCACGCCACAGTTCCTTCTCTCCCAGTCTCCTTTTGGGATCTTGGGCACGCACGCACACGTGCCCGGCGTGAGTTCAAGCCACCGGGTCCAGGACACAAACCTCAGTCGACTGCATGGGAGTCCAGCGACATAGTCATTATGCTAACTGCTGGTCCCTAGCAAATGTTTTTGATAAGGAAAATATGAATTAAATTTGATGTTTGACCACAAGAAGTAGAAGAAGTAAGACATTTTAATAAGGTTAATGCCATAGAAAACTTGCTAAAATGCTCTGAAGAATGAGCGTTCACATGGAATAGGGTGAGTCAGAGAAGGCTTTATAAAGGAAGTAGAGTATGAGCTTTGATAACTAGTCAGAGGTCGGTATATGAAGACTGGAAGCGGACTGGGGACAGATGTCTGGACAGCTGAAACATTCTTAACAAAGTCTCAGAAACAGAGGACCAGATAGTGGTGCAGAGAAAATGTGATGTTCTGCAAGGCAGTCCCCACATGGGAAGGTTCCGTTTAAGATTAGAAATCTCCTTGAGTACACCAGGCCCATGCTTACCCATGATCTGGGCTAGTTGAAGGCCAGGAGTGGATCATGGCAGTAGCCCTTATCAAGGGTGATGTCTCCTTTTTTTATTCTTTTTCTCTCTTGTGCACATGCATGCACTCATGGGAGAAATAAACTTTCAAAAAGTCTCAGAAACACTACAGTGTGGAGTATAAATGAGAAATGGAGACTATTAGTTGGGTTTAATTTTATGCAAATTAAAGGGAATGGTTAGAGATAAAGTTAAACTCAGTAGGTCCGGAATCTCTGATTAAACTTTGGCCGGTGGTGGGAAATATTTTATCCATTATTCTGCTCTTTTGACAACTTCAGAACTGTGTTTTAGGATAATTAATCTGCCATCTGCATGTAAGCAATGTTGTAAAGGAAGAGAAAATGAAGTTAGGAATTATAATAACTAGTTGAGATATTATTATAATGGCCTTACAAAAAATAATAAGAGTCATGCTAGGCTGGAGAAAGAATGATTGAAACAGAGGGGTGGAATTGAGAGACATGGTCTAGTGAAAATTTCTATGGTTTAGAACCTGAGAATATGAGAGGAAGAAGAGAGGTAACGAAAGGGCCAAGAACAGATCCTGTTTCACAAGTTAAACAAATCAAGTAACTCAGCTGTGTGTGGTGGGAGGTGAGGGCAGCTTTGCAGGTGGTGTGTGTACATGCAGTTCCCAATGAGCAATTGAAAATGTGAAATTGAAACTCAGGATATGAGTTGAAATATAAACTTGGGACTTACGTAAAGGAAGAGGTAGAAGACATATGAGTGGACATGAGTACAAATGGAGAGGAAAGAAGATAATAGGCCAACGACCGGACTCAAAAGGAAAGGTGGTCTACCTATAGGTGAGAGAACAAGAGTCAAAACGAAGTATGAGTCTGGGGCTTGTTTTTGGCTCATTATATTAAGTAGTCTAGATTTTCGCACTTTCTTTAAATAACACACATAATGATGGGCATGTGTGCATGTATGTGTGAGAGAGTCTGGTGATCAAGGACTTGTTTTATATAAGTGATAAAATTATTTAGCTAAAATATATGTTGTGCTCACGTTTCATCAATAATAGAAACAATCAGTCAGAAAAGGAAATCTGCAGAATTTTACCCTCACGTTTCATCAATAATAGAAACAATCAGTCGGAAAAGGAAATCTGGTGAATTTTACCTTAGCCAATAAATAAAGCTTCTGCCAAAACTAAGTTAACTAAATTAGATATTTTTCTAGCCCATTTCATCATATAAAACAGCAACAGAAATTTCATATGAGCAGTTGCTGAATTGCGTTGGTTGTTGAATTGCATTGATGAACATACCCCAGGAACATATTTATATTTAGATAATTTACTTTTTCCTTTATTTATTTTTTTATTCCAGAATAAAAGACCAAGCTATGATCGCAACTGGTGGAGTGATCACAGGCCTGGCTGCCTTGAAAAGGCAGGACTCTGCCAGATCCCAGCATCATGTCAACCTCAGTCCATCACCGACTGCCCAAGAGAAGAAGCCAGTCAGGCGACGGCCCCAGGCTGACGTCGTGGTTGTTCGTGGCAAAATCAGGCTATATTCCCCGTCCGGATTTTTCCTCATTTTAGGAGTGCTTATCTCCATTATAGGAATTGCAATGGCTGTCCTTGGATATTGGCCCCAAAAAGAACATTTTATCGATGCCGAAACAACATTATCAACGAATGAAACTCGGGTCATTCGGAACCAAGGCGGTGTGGTGGTTCGTTTCTTTGAGCAGCATTTACATTCTGATAAAATGAAAATGCTTGGCCCTTTCACCATGGGGATTGGCATTTTCATTTTTATTTGTGCTAATGCCATTCTTCATGAAAATCGTGACAAAGAAACCAAAATCATCCACATGAGGGATATCTATTCCACAGTCATTGACATTCACACACTAAGGATCAAGGAGCAAAAACATCTGAATGGCACTTACACGGGTTTGATGGGAGAGGCAGAAGTGAAACAGAATGGGAGCTCCTGTGCCTCTAGGTTGGCAGCAAACACGATCGCCTCTTTCTCAGGCTTTCGGAGCAGTTTTCGAATGGACAGCTCTGTGGAGGAGGATGAACTTATGCTCAATGAAAATAAGAGTTTTGGGCATCTTATGCCCCCTTTGCTCTCTGACAGCTCTGTCTCTGTCTTTGGTCTCTATCCACCTCCTTCTAAGACAACTGATGAGAAAACCAGCAGCTCTAAGAAATGTGAAACCAAGTCCATTGTGTCATCATCCATCAGTGCTTTTACACTGCCTGTGATCAAGCTTAATAATTGTGTGATTGATGAGCCCAGTATAGATAACATCACGGAGGATGCCGATAATCTCAAAAGCAGGTCAAGGAATTTGTCAATGGATTCCCTTGTCATCCCTTTGCCCACCACTAGTGAATCTTTCCAGCCAGTCAGCCTGGGACTCCCAAGGAATAATTCCATTGGGGAGTCATTGTCAAGTCAGTTCAAGTCCTCTGTGGCCCTGGGACCTGGGGCTGGACAGCTGTTGTCTCCTGGCGCTGCTAGAAGACAGTTTGGGTCCAATACATCCTTGCATTTGCTCTCATCACACTCAAAATCCTTAGACTTAGACCGAAGAACCTCCACCCTGACTGTTCAGGCAGAACAACGGAAGCATCCCAGCTGGCCTCGGTTGGATCGAAGCAACAGCAAGGGGTATATGAAACTAGAGAACAAAGAGGACCCAATGGATAGGTTGCTTGTGCCCCAAGCTACAATCAAAAAAGACTTTACCAATAAGGAAAAGCTTCTTATGATTTCAAGATCTCATAATAACTTGAGTTTTGAACATGATGAGTTTTTGAGTAACAACCTAAAGCGGGGAACTTCCGAAACAAGGTTTTAATGTTTCAAATATGTCGTTTTACAAGGGTATATATTTTAAAACTATTTTCACTGGTGTGTCCTTCTTAAAGTATTGGTTGTAACCCTTTTTAATCAAATAATTCTTAGTGTATTAGAACTGGCTGCTTAACTCTGTAAAAGAGATGGTTGTGTGTTTAAGTGTCTTATGACTGCGATGCTCTATATTATCACATAAGACTTTTTTTCCATCCCTTTGAAAGCATGATTTTTAATTAATCTGAATACAGAATGATTTGTTTTAAAATTAAAACTCCTTTTCTTTACTTTGAAGTTCTTCCCTAGCTTGTCATATTCATAAAATGAAGTGTGGGAAACATAAGGTACCAAAGTGTAGACTAGCAGTACCAAATTCAGGCCCAGCACTCTAAGCAGATATATATATATATATATGCATAAATGAGTGTGAGTGCAAATCTTAGGATGATTTTCTGAATACTTGCTTTTATATAGGATTGGTTAAATTGTTTAAAGGGAAAGAATCTAGTTTATGTGTGAGCTAAAATACTATGAATTGGTTTAGTTCTGTGTGAGCTCAATAATATGAATCTTATTCTGAGCTCTAGGTAGGTAGGTAGGTAGGTAGGTAGGGTTTTTTCCAATATCAGTTCTGTTTTAGTGATGTTTTCTAAAGAGATCATATTCAAGAGCCATGACTGAAAATCCCAGATATACTTAGGGATAAATATCAAAATGTTTTCGCTGTAACTTTAGATATTTAGAATCAAAATTTCTTTGCAAACTGCCTTGAAAATTGAGTGAATCAATATAGTTTGTAGCAGTGCTATCTTGAAATAACCATGTACATGAAGAAAATGAGTGATGAATGAAGATACTTTATATGCTAATTAATGCTTAATAGTCTCAGTACCTTTTTCTAGCCATCACCATCCAATATATACTCATTCCCAAATCTTTAGTGCCCCCCAATACCTTTTAAGGTTCTTTTATTTGAAAAATATCAGCTAATCTTGATTTTTTTTTTTAAATCTTTGTGTACACTAGCTTGGTGGTTCAAGAAAATTCAATCCTTGATAAATTGCCTTGAAATTTATCTTGTGCTGGAAAGCCTTATGATAACTCCAAAGACTTTCTTATGGTCTACTACATTTTTAAGGTTGTGGTTCTCAGTTGTTGGAGATAATAAAAATAAAAATGGGTGTTTCCATCAGAGAATTTTCATGTGTACCATTTGAGGTAACATAATTTTAAGAATTGTTTAGTGGAATACTCAGGAAATTTTACAGGTTTTCTCCAATGCCTAAACATTTCTGAACATCAGTATTGCAGTTGCTGTGGAAGAGGAGGAAGGTGTGTGTGTGGCTACTGCACAATAGTTGCATAATGAGCTTCTCTCAATGGAAGCAGTGTGACTTGTTAGAACATCAAGCCTGTGTACTGTAATAGAGTGGGCTCAATATTTTACTATAAAACATTTAATAAACTCCCATTCTTAATAGAGATGTGTGTTGTTTTACTTTTGCTATTATTGTGAAAATAAAGTGTACATTTCTGTGTTCCTATTTTTTTAAACTTTCAGAAACATTCTACTGAGAGCATTTGATAGCCTAATACATTTACTGGGTCCCTTAGATTTTTAACTCTACTTCTATTAGGTGAAAGAGCTAGGTCCACCCATCTATTTGATTAGGCTATTTTTGTATTTTGTTATTTTGGGATCATTCTCACTTAAAATTTCATTGACTCTCAGGAAAATAACCAAGTACACCATTCAGCAGATGTCATTGGCAAGCCCAGATTTGAAAACAACGGCTCCGAACACCCCTGATGTGCAGATGACTAAACCCATATAATTTGCTCAGTTCACCCCTGTAAGAGCTCTACAGATTTGAAAGAGATTAAGCAGTATGGGTTTTGGAGGATCCAAATAAAGGAACTACAGGTTTAAGGTAGTAGTTCCTATTTCAACCTTCTCTTCATCAAAAAGCTCTAGATTTTTAAATTATTATTTACCATGCAAATCCATTTTATTAAATAATAAATAAATTTTATTTTAAATAAAAGGCACATAGTGTTAATTAAAATTGAAGAAAAAGTCTGCAAAAATGATGTTACAATATTTTAATTTTTAATAAAAATATTATTTTATTTTTATTTATTTATTTTTAAGAGATTTTTGCAATAAGGCACATGCACGAGACAGAGACAGAGACTGTAAGTGAAAAATCACCACCAGAGGGGATGACCACACCACAATCCCTTCTCCTCTTGGGATTTTGGGCACATGCTCACATGTACCTGGCATGATTTTAATCTGCCAGGTACAGGACTCAAATCACAGTCAACTATGTGGGAGTTCAATAATGTAACTGTTATGCCAAGTGCTGGTCCCAAAAATATTATTTTAATTATCAGAAAGTACATACTTGTAAGAAAAAGACAGAGAAAGAGAGAGAAAGCACCCTGCAACAAGGCCTGGTCACACTGTAATTCCTTCTCTTCTATTTCTCCATTTTGTTAGGACTTGGGGCATGCATGCATACATGCTCGGCATGTTTCTCAAGCTTCTGGGGCCAGGATTTGAACCCTTATTGGCCATGTAGTATCTGGCTTCTTTAACCATTAGACTAGAGGGCTTGCCTCCATATTGATTTGAATGATACCAAATCAATTATATTGGTGTAATTCACCTAGAAGCAATGAAACCTGACATTTTAATGAGATTATATTCTGTACATTTCCTGTAGGCTTTCATGAATTTTAAAAGTTATTCAGAAACTCTATTTCTTCCTCTGGGAAACCCTAGGAATCTAGACCACAGGCTAGGTTCCTTCAACCCCAATAGTTTCTAAGGCCTGTGTCCTATCTGAGGTAAATTAATTTCCTAGGGCTACAATAACAAGAGAGCACAGACTGGGTGGTTTGAACAATAGAAATTTATTTTCTCATAGTTCTGGAAGTTAGATGCCCAAGGTCAATGTGAAGGTTGCTTGGTTTCTCCTGTGGCCTTTCTCTTTGCCTTACAGATGGCACCTTCTCACTGAATCCTCACATGGTTTTGCACACTCCTAGTATATTTTTGTGTATCCAAATTTCATCTTCTTTTTTCTTTCTTTCTTTCTTTTTTTTTTGCAATTGAGATTTATTGGTTGTGTCAAGGATCAGTACAGACATTTCAATTTGTACCCAATTTTTTGGAGAGGTTTTTGGAATTTTTTTCTATAGGGCGCATGCGCTTGCCAGGCAGAGAGAGACATAGAGAAATCCCCCCCCAGGGGGGATGGCCCCATCGCAATCCCTTCTCCTCCATTCTCCTCTCGAGATCTTGGGCATGCACGCACACGCGCCCAGCGTGAGTTTTTTAAGCCACTGGGTCCAGGATGCGAAACGCAGTTGACTACGTGGGAGTCCAGCGACATAGCCATTACGTTAACTGCTGGTTCCCTCAATTTTTACCCAATTCTTAACCTATGTACCAAAAATTTAAAAAGCCAGGTATAGTCATTTTCTTTAAGTTATTCCAGTGACATTCCAGCTTCAAATTTGTAGGCAAATTTTCCTTGAGAGAATATAAAGAACCACTGTCTTCAAACATTGAAAGCTGTTATGTAAATCCCACCAAATCACAATTTAGTATCATACACACTACATAATTCAAATTTCCAGTCTTTTTATATTCTTTATTTGGAGAGGTTTTTGCTATAGAGCATGTGC